AACAAGCAGCCTATCGGCTGAGATAGCTCCGCTGTTAGCAATGCACATTTCAATTAAAGAACTGAAGACATCATTAGAAAATGAACAATATGAATAGTATCAAAGCAATCGGACTTACAGTTTTTAACAAGAAGTCGAAAATATCACTTTTTACCAAACATTACAAAAATATTCACCAAAATAAATTAATTAGAGAATTGAAGATATCATCACAAAACGAACAAATCTGAGAGAGGTCCACATGTAGTACCTATATATGTAATATCAAAGCAATCGGACTTACAGTTTTCAACAAGAAGTCGAAAATATCACTTTTTACCAAAAATGACAAAAATATTCACCAAAATTAGAGAATTGAAAGATATCATCACAAAATGAACAAATCTGAGAGAGGTCCACATGTAGTACCTATATATGTAATATCAAAGCAACTCGAACTTGCGGTTTTTAACAAGAAGTCAAAAATATCACTTTTTACCAAAAATGACAAAAATATTCACCAAAATTAGAGAATTGAAGATATCATCACAAAACAAACAAATCTGAGAGAGGTCCACATGTAGTACCTATATATGTAGTATCAAAGCAATTGGACTTGCGGTTTTTAACAAGAAGTCGAAAATATCACTTTTCACCAAAAAATGACAAAAATATTCACCAAAATTAGACAATTAAAGATATCATTACAAAATGAACAAATCTGAGAGAGGTCCACATGTAGTACCTATATATGTAATATCAAAGCATTTGCACTTGCGGTTTTTAACAAGAAGTCGAAAATATCAGTTTTTACCAAAAATGGCAAAAATATTCACCAAAATCAGAGAATTAAAGATATCATTACAAAATGAACAAATCGGAGAGAGGTCCACATGTAGTACCTATATATGTAATATCAAAGCAATTGCACTTGCGGTTTTTAACAAGAAGTCGAAAATATCAGTTTTTACCAAAAATGACAAAAATATTCACCAAAATTAGAGAATTAAAGATATCAACATGAAATGAACAAACCTAAGAGAGGTCTACCCAAGGTACATATACACCAAGTATCAAAGCATTTAGGCTTGTAGTTGTCAAGAAGAAGTCGAAAAAGTAAAACATTGACACGGACGACGACGGCAACGGACGACGACGGACAATCACTCATATGATAAGCTCCGCTCGACAAAGTCGACAGCGGAGCTAAAAAGTCATGGAATAATGACATGTACAATATCAGAACAGATCGAAACAAGTGTTCATCCCGGGTTCTACTGTGCATCCGTTGACCACAATGTGTTTAATAAATCAGAAGCCGAGATGGTGTTTCGGAAATTCAAGATACTTGTTTAGTGGTGATAGTTTTGTTCACATTTTATTATTAAACAGTTTCATACCCTTTACTTTTACTCTTATACAAACACTGACACAATGACATAGACTGAATTACTTTCAGCAATTAAGACTAATACATCATTACATGCGTTCATTATTCGAATTTCCATCCTATTTTATCAACTTTCAAAACCAATTTTCACATATCCATCCAAATTTTCAGGCAACAAGTTTTCATCCAACTTTTTGACTCCCGTGTGTGATGCATGCAATGGGAGTATTTGTGGTTACCCAGTCTGTGTGTGTGTGTGTGTTATGCATGTCTGTTGTACCATTATCTCGAGAATCAATTGTCGTATTCAATGAAACTTGGTACATTGTTGCTCTGGGACAATGCACAGACCTGATTATTTTTTGGGTGAAATTTGTGTTTATTAATTACCTATTTTGCATAATAATTAATCAAGTTTTGGCGTTTCCATCAATACCTCCAATACTCATCATTGCATTTTAACGAAACTTAGTACATAGATGCTTGGAATTAGGCGAAGTTCTAATTAGGTTCAGGTTAAAAGCCGTATGCATGATAATTACCTAATTTGCATAATAATTAGTAAATTTTCGGCTTTATACAGTACTAATCATTTCTTTTCAATGAAACTTGGTACATAGATGCTCCTAGACAAAGACCCAATTAGTTTTAGGATAATAACCGGTCAGTGCTTATTAATTACTTAATTCGCATAATAGTGTTTCAGCTTGATTTATCATAAGCTCAAGTACCAAACATTGGGTTTCAAGAAAACTTTGTAAATATGTGCCTTATACACATTATTAGTTTGATGTTGAAACCATTCATATTAATTATCTAATTTGCATCAGCTTTTCAACCAATATTCCTGAAACCAATAATTGCATTTCACTGAAACTTAGTACATATGTGTCTTGGAACAATGAAAATAGATTGAAATTTGAGCATACTATATTTACACATTTATACCGATATATCAGAAAACAATCATCACAATTCAATAGGACTTGGAACATAAATGGCGTGGAATATTCCAGATACATCAGATTTCAAAGTACTCCAGAAAACTAATTAGTTCAAGGTTGAAAAAATACATATTAATTACATACATTGTAATTTGTATTAATGATGCATTTTTTTTGTTCTACTGATCTCAAGTATCACTAGTCAGATTTCAATGAAATGTGGTATGTATATGCCTTTGGGTACACAGAAGAGATTACTAGTAGTTTGCGGTTGAAAACAACCCATAATAATTATGTAATTTGAATAAATTAGGCAATGTCTGATATATAATAAACTCAGATTTAAATTGAACTTATGGTACTATGGAATAAATCAGACTGCAAACCAGAGATGTACAATCAAATGTTTACTCCTTTTGTTATAGTTTTCTGTGAATATTATAAACTTCAATACTGTGGGTCACATTGTTTTTCACATTGTGCATCTCAAATACCAGACTTATATTAGTTGATTTAATTTTAAATATTTCCTATTTTTACTTCATATGCCTCCAATTTTTTCAGCTTTCTTTGGTCTTACTTTTCAAGCCACTATAACAAGTTTCCACCCAAAACCATGGTGGATTACAATATCCATACAAATAGAACTGTAGCAGTTTACTAATCTGCATAAAAACAATAAAAGTGGATTTTCAGAAATGTACATACTGGTCAAGCTATGAGTTGCGTAACCAAGCATGGTGGAAATCAAATAACTATACCTGTACTTAAAAAACAAAGGTCCAAATTTGTTAACTATTTCTCTATTTCTCAAGGACAGTTATAAATAAATTTACATACATAATTCATAGCATTCCCATATAATAGGTATAATTTAAATATACTTTATTTCTGTAATAAAAACATTACACCAAGTGTTATTAATTCTAACAATTAATAATAACTCTAAAATATCAACCATATTCGGTAGAAAAAGACAAACACAGAGATACTGATTAGCTTGATACAATACATTGCAATTCCACAATATATCCCAAAGAGGTTAGACTTTTGTAAAACCATACATCCAGGGTAAGTAACACACCCATTAGTGCTGTGTAGCCAATACTGTAAAAAGTATTGAAATAGCTACATGCCATTTTAGCAAATTTAACACAATGTATAAACTAATAGAAGCCAATTTTAGTCAATGGTGAGAATATACTTAATTTAAAATTAGCGAAATCTAGAATTAGCAAAATTACGGATTAGCTAAATTCGCTAAAAAGACATGTTTTACAGTAAGCAGTAGTTTGAAGAAAAGGAAATGTATTCAGCACTATGGAGTTATGTTGCAAAATAATAACTTCAAGTAACAGAAACAAAACTCAAAGTAATTAAGGAATATTGTCAATAGACAGTGGACACAAATGAAAACTGAGTTTTGTTGAGAACAAGAGAGCCTTTGCCTCTCCATTCTCTCTAGTTATCCCATCCATTGTTACCATGGTTACATAGGTCAGGGGAGCAGTGGACGCGATGAAGACTGAGAACAAATACAAGGCTAAGTCTTTCTCACTCTTAACAAGATCTGGGTGGCACTTTGTGACCAAGGCAAAGACTTCAACCTAACATTCTCATATTTTAATGCTATGTTTGTGAAATTGAATCCTTTGCAATATAATTTGTGGGGGCCAACCCAACCAGGGCAGTGGTCAACGTAACTGCACATGATCCACTTTTGTGTAAATAAATACATATTTGATCAAATTTTGAAAAAAAATGATATAAACAAATCATAGAAAACACGAGTCATGAAAACTCTAGTGCTTTGGTTGACATGGTAATTAAACCACATTGATGATTTATCTACTTTTCTGTAGAAACGATGACTGGACACATTTTTATAAAATTAAAAGGTGGGGTAAATATACTTGACATTATGTAATTATTAAGTACATTGCAACATGTCAATTCAATTTAGATCTCTAAACCTAGGAGTGAGGTTTACAAAACTCATTTATATTACAAAATATGCAACTGCCAGAAAACCATGTTTGATTATCATTGGAACAGTGATTCAATTTGAGCATGTGTGTGTCTAACTCTTCTAAAATATAAATACAGAATTAATTTGTTTTTCATTTTGTACCTTTCCCCAATGCCCAATAGGAAAGGTAATGCCTGTGAGTGAAAGATAATAACAATATGAGAGGTACAGTAAATGTAAACCTGTAAACTGTAAAACATCTTTTCTTGAGACCCCGGTATCCCTGGAATCGGCCAAGTTTCAAACCACTAATAACTTGATAACCATTTTACTTGATGCTATCTTGGTATGACAAATGGTTTAATTTTGTGTGAAAATTAACCATCACGAAATGTTTTATCAGTGAAAATTAAATGAATTTTTGTAACTTTAATCCATCATTAAATTTATCAAACCATCAAACTTTAATGGTGTACGAAATGGTGTATGGAACACATTTAATTATATTAAACAGATTTAATTTATACAAATTTAGCAAATCATGGAAATTCAAGAAATACTGTAGCAGTGAAAAAATGATTTTTGCAAAGTCCTTGCAAACTCTCAGGAAATTGCAAACACTTCTAGACACATTTACTTACCAGTTTACGGTATATATCGGTAACAATACAAACTGCTACAGTAACGATAGAAACTGCTACAGTAATGATAGGAACTGCTGCAGTAATGATAGGAACTGCTGAAGTAAAAATAGGAACTGCTGCACTAGCAACAGAACTGCTGCAGTAATGATAGGAACTGCTGCAGTAACGAAGGGAACTGCTGCAGTAATGAAGGGAACTGCTGCAGTAACGAAGGGAACTGCTGCAGTAACGAAGGGAACTGCTGCAGTAATGAAGGGAACTGCTGCAGTAACGATAGGAACTACTGCAGTAAAAATAGGAACTGCTGCAGCAACGATAAGAACTGCTGAAGGAACGATGGGAACTGCTGTAGTAAAAATACAAACTGCTGCAGTAGCGATAGGTACTGCTGCAGCAACGATAGGAACTGCTGAAGGAACGATAGGAACTGCTGCAGTAAAAATAGGAACAGCTGCAGTAACGAAGAGAACTGTTGCAGTAACAATAGGAACTGCTACAGTAACGATAAGAACTACAACAGTAAGTAACAATAGCAACTACTTCAGTAACGATAGGAACTGAAATATGAACCACTACATTAACAATATGAACTGCTACAGAAACGATATGAGCTACTACAGTAACGATGTGAACTGCTACAGGAACGATAGGAACTACTGCAGTAACGATATCAACTGCTGCAGTAACAACATGAACTGCTACAATAACGATAGGAACTGTTACAGTAATAACATGAACTGTTACAGTAACGATATGAACTGTTGCAGTAACGATACAAACTGCTACAGTGCTACAGTAATAACAGGAACTGCTATAGTAATGACAGGAACTGCTACATGAACTGTTACAGTAACGATATGAACTGTTGCAGTAACGATACAAACTGCTACAGTGCTACAGTAATGACAGGAACTGCTACAGTAATGACAGGAACTGCTGCAGTAACAATAGGAACTGCTGCAGTAATGACATGAACTGCTACAGTAAAGATAGGAACTGCTACAGTAATGATATGAACTGCTACAGTAATGACATGAACTGCTACAGTAATGACATGAACTGCTACAGTAATGACATGAACTGCTACAGTAATGATAGGAACTACTACAGTAACAATAAGAACAGCTACAGTAATGACAGGAACTACTAAATTATTGATAACCATTGTTAAAGTAATGATGACAGTAATGATGACATCTGATACAGTAAATAAGAACAAGATCTGCTACAGTAATAATACAGCGCGTTACAGAAGGTAAAAAGAACAAGATAATCAAAATGCACGATAAATCTTATAAAAATAGAACAAATATATACTGCTTGGCAGAATTTCTATAATAGTAAATACAAATTAATTTTCTTCAATTGAAATATGGCCTCTTAATAGTTTTAAGCAATACAATAAAAGAATGAATGGATTGGTACACCATCTTGTACAATCAGAATGCTCCAATGCTTTAGTGTCATCATCCATATCCGACTCATGTCATGATAGAAACCATCATTTTACACCACCATATCTGACGCATGTCATGATAGAAACCATCACATTACATCACCATATCTGACTCATGTCATGATAGAAACCATTACATTACATCACCATATCTGACTCATGTCATGATAGAAACCATCACATTACACCATATCTGACTCATGTCATGATAGAAACCATCACATTACATCACCATATCTGACTCATGTCATGATAGAAACCATTACATTACATCACCATATCTGACTCATGTCATGATAGAAACCATCACATTACACCATATCTGACTCATGTCATGATAGAAACCATCACATTACATCACCATATCTGACTCATGTCACGATAGAAACCATCACATTACATCACCATATCTGACTCATGTCATGATAGAAACCATCACATCACATCACCATATCTGACTCATGTCATGATGGAAACCATCACATCACCATATCTGACTCATGTCATGATGGAAACCATCACATTACATCACCATATCTGACTTATGTCATGATAGAAACCATTACACTACATCACCATATCTGACTCATGTCATGATAGAAACCATCACATTACATCAACATATGACTCATGTCATGATAGAAACCATTACATTACATCACCATATCTGACTCATGTCATGATAGAAACCATCACATTACACCACCATATCTGACACATGTCATGATAGAAACCATCACTTTACACCACCATATCTGACACATGTCATGATAGAAACCATCACAATACATCATCATATCTGACTCATGTCATGATAGAAACCATCACAATACATCATCATATCTGACTCGTGTCATGATGGAAACCGTTATGTTACATTACCATATATGACGCATGTCATGATGAAAACCGTTATGTTACATTACCACATATGACGCATGTCATGATAGAAACCATCACATTACACCACCATATCCGACTCATGTCATGATAGAAACCATCACTTTACACCACCATATCTGACACATGTCATGATAGAAACCATCACATTACATCACCATATCTGACGCATGTCATAATAGAAACCATCACATTACATCAACATATTCGACTCGTGTCATGATGGAAATCGTTATGTTACATTACCATATATGACGCATGTCATGATAGAAACCATCACAATACATCATCATATTCGACTCCTGTCATGATAGAAACCATCACAATACATCATCATATCTGACTCGTGTCATGATGGAAACCGTTATGTTACATTACCATATATGACACATGTCATGATAGAAACCATCACAATACATCATCATATCCGACTCGTGTCATGATGGAAACCGTTATGTTACATTACCATATCTGACTCATGTCATGATAGAAACCGTTAAGTTACATCACCATATCTGACTCATGTCATGATAGAAACCATCACATTACATCACCATATTTGACTCATGTCATGATAGAAACCATCACAATACATCACCATATCTGACTCGTGTCATGATAGAAACCATCACAATACATCATCATATTCGACTCGTGTCATGATAGAAACCATCACAATACATCATCATATTCGACTCGTGTCATGATGGAAACCATCATTTTACACCACCATATCTGACTCATGTCATGATAGAAACCATCACAATACATCACCATATCTGACTCGTGTCATGATGGAAACCATAACTTTACACCACCATATTTGACTCATGTCATGATGGAAACCATTACAATACATCATCATATCTGACTCGTGTCATGATAGAAACCATCACAATACACCACCATATCTGACTCATGTCATGATGGAAACCATTACAATACATCATCATATCTGACTCATGTCATGATGGAAACCGTTATGTTACATTACCATATCTGACTCATGTCATGATAGAAACCGTTATGTTACATTACCATATCTGACTCGTGTCATGATGGAAACCATTATGTTACATTACCATATCTGACTCATGTCATGATAGAAACCGTTATGTTACCATCATTACCATCATATAACTTGGACAGATCATAATTATCATAAACCACTGCCAGAGCTCTGAATAGCCTTATTTATTTGAGAGTTGGGTTTAGTAGAATTTATACTGCAAAGAATGAAACATTTCAATGAAGGGGTAATGTGAACAATGAGCATGTTTGAATAATTATTCCATCTTGATTTATCATAGTGTAAAAAAAATAGTTTTGGTTGCTAATATAGCAGTATTTGTTTGAAGAAATAAAGATTTGTTTTTTATTCATTTACCTGTATGTAAAGGTGAATTACAGGTTTTCAATTATTTAAATACGCTCATAAAAACATAGACTGATCCAGTCGTGGCAATTTTATCATTTTATATACTGAATTCCTTTAGAACAAGTTTGTAAAATCTCTCACATTGACACAAAATTACCATGACTGGTCCATTCTGCTGCACCCTCTATAGTTATCACCTCATTTTATAAGGTGATAAATATGCTAATGAGTAGCATGACTTGTAAGCTGCCAACCAATCAGAAAGACAGCTTTTGGTCTGATCTGTTCTACGCAACTATAATGCACGCGTGGCCCGGCGTGTAGAATCATTAGTATCTAGTCAAATCATTTCAAGTGCATGCCTATTTGCCTTTTATGGAAGTGTTCTACTCCCAGGTTCCATAACATCACTGCATATCATGAATAAGTGATATTAATAGATATGTTGCAGAATTGACCAGTCATGGTAATTTCATGTCTGACAACGATTCAAGAAAGACAATTATAAAACTGCCATGGCTGGGCCAGTCTAATAAAAACACACTGCCTCTTTAAGTCTCCCACAAACATCGCCCCCAGGTGGCAGACAATGATTTGACTTTATTTTCTTCATGCAAAACATAACCTAATAATTACTTTGGCATACTTATTGCTTGGCACTACTGGAAATATTTGGAGAAACATTCATATTATTTAAAACCATTTATTTTCACTATTTTGATGATCCAAGGTAAATTCGCTGGCTTTTTAAGTTCATGAATTTGCCAGGGAAATAATAATTTCTATTTTTAATTTCACATGTTTATGTAGAGTATCAGTGAAAATAGTAAAATTCAAAACCAGTGAATAATTAATGGATTCACATTATGGCACTCTCTTAATATAGAAATGTCCTTATATGGTACTTTCCTAATATAGAACTATCCTTATATGGGAATTTCCTAATACATTGTATGGAAATTTCCTAATATGAAAAAATCCTTTCATAGAAATAGCCTTATATGGAAATAATCTGCCATATAGAAATGTCCTAAGATAGCACTCTCCTAATATGGTAATTGCCTAATATGGAAATACTGTCCTAATAATGCAAATATGACCTAATTTACAAACTCACAATAAGTATATTGGAATGGCACTGATCAACAGTGCCTGATACAAACATGTTGCATAACAATCTTGGCAAATCATCTGAAAAGCAATATGAATACTAGACTAAAACTAATTTTGCATAGAATTAAAATATTCCAGGGGTGGTGGTAGTTGGGGTTGGTGGGTAGTATTCAGGAAATTGGGTGTGGTATTGCAGTAAACTTTGGGATTTCCTAAACACATTTCAGAGAATATATAAATTTACATCCTTTTGTTAGTTGTCATTGAATAAATGAGTTTCTTAAGACAAAAAAAAGTTTTCTCGTTAGTGTCAATTCTTAGAAGACATTTTCAGAACAGAAAATTATAACCCTTAATTTATTACTTGTGTAACTTACCTGAACAGAATATTCACCCCTATACAATTTGGTGTATTTTTTCTTTCTTTCAAGGTTACATAACCAAAAGTCATAACAATATTCACCCCTATACAATTTGGTGTATTTTTTCTTTCTTTCAAGGTTACATAACCAAAAGTCATAACAATATTCAGTTGGTTTTAGATTCAACATATTGTTGGAGAAACATGTCTTGCTCCATACAAAATATAACAATATGTTTTCACTCAACACTGAGGGCACTGTTTTAAAATATATCAACCACAATGTTAATATTTATATTAAAAAAAAAATCCTCTTAAAACTGTTCATTACTTACTAAATTGTACCTTATATTGGGCAGTATAACCAGCAGTAACTGTTACCACCAGGACAAACAGAATTGTGCTACGTTCATACAATCACATATTATGTTAATATGCATACCACCTAAGTTACTGAAAATTAGAAAAGACTTCAAGAAATGGGTCATAAAAGTTAAAGGTTTTCTGAACACAATTTTGCCCAGATCAATATTGTAGTCGAAACCCGGTACTACAAATGTGGACTCTCTGACCAATGAATAAACTATTAGTAATTAACATACTATTGTTATGCCAATAAGCCATAGCACTACACAGTTTTCCTGGGGTGAACACTTAAATGCTGTTTTTTATCTAAAAAAAAAAAATTTGTGAAAAATAGTGAGTGGTGTTTTTAGGTGACGAATAAACGTTTATTCTCACGGGACATAAATCCAACTGCTTTAATATTTTGATACCTGATTCAGTATCGACAGATTTGCCAGTCATTACACATCTGCAAATGTCACACTACTTTCTGCATTAACCCTTTGAACGATATATCTTTTCTGCCAAAACTATGGTGTAATATTTGACATATTTCTATGAATTTGTCTATAGATTGTTATTAATTTTGAACCATATAAACATAATTGCCTTAAAAGACATGGGTTTTGAACAAAACTTTTCAAAAATATGAACAAATATTATGTGGGTACATTTTGCAAAAGTTGACTTGGGAATTCAAAGGGTCAAATAAAAGTGATTGCAAATATTAATGCATCAATTCACATCACAAAAGATGTTGACACTTTCATAAAATAAAAGATTTAGGCTTGAATATTCTATTATAGGTACATGAAAAACATTATTATTTTTAAAAGTGAACCACTACAAGTTATATCAATGCAAGTATATCATATTTTAAAAGTTTATTTACGTATAGATAAAATCATCACTGAAGGAGCAGCTATCTTCGGTCTTTGTACAAATATATAACAAGTTCCATTCCAATGTGATATTCATACAAATGAGTACATATTTTCCACAGCTCTTCCCTGGTTTCCATGACTTGACTGTCGACTGCTGTCGCTTCCCGCTGAGTTTGAGCGCACGCGCACAGATCCGCCAAATGTAGTTATTTGGTTTAGTCCATTGTCTGTAGAATTGTGGAGGCTATGTGATCCACTGTTACCTCTGGTGGATGTTAGTTCAGATAGTGGCATTCCTGCGTAACCGGGAACAGACAGAGCTTGTTGCAGCTGTGGTATGAGATTAGGATCCTGCACTGAACTGGGAGTTGCCGGAGCACTTACGATAGCTCTTTCTGGTGATGGTACATTCACAACAAAATTAGTCAAAGTGACGTCAGATGTTCCCCCTGATTCCAGCGGGATTGGATGTGAGCGAAAGTGTTCTAGCATGTCAAATATGGTCTGAAACCAAAGATGTTGTACACGACACTGCCCTTCACCGTTCAATGACATACGCAGATGCTGTGAAACAAATATACATATTCGGATGATGACCTTATATAGCAGTAATGCTAGATGTATCCTAAATTTGACCTCTGACCCAAACTCGACCTATGACCAGAAAAATTTAGTAGGCGATATATAATCATGTCATTACTTGTTAAAAACAGCGATAACTGTGGAGTGAATTAGAAATGTCACAAGAAAACAGTTATTGTGAAATCCCAGTCACATCGCATGATTTTAATATGGTGTTTAGTAGATCACCTGCCCTTATATTAATCCACTCTTGATGCAACAAAAAATATATGAATGATACAGCACTGCCATGTGATCTGATGTATGAGGCACCATTAAAGGGTCATACATTGTATTTTTCTATTTTATGCATGTCACAGTTAGCCCCCCCCCCCCCAAAAAAAAATTGGCAAATAAATCAGGTCTAACAACCGAAATGCTCACCTTTGCTCTACCTTGAAAATTAAATGTAAGTACGTATTCGCCCCTCCGAGTTTCACTTTGTCTTACTAAGAATACTCCATGACTCATTGGACCACCTTTCAAGACTAACTGTGCAGCATCTATGCGTGAGAGTGTGCCATGAAACCAGGGATATCCGGCCAAGGGATGGTCACCCCCGGCCGCATCATGGAATCCCTCGTAACCAGCTGGCCCTGGCCAATCAAGTGGATCTCCTGTAGACACTAAAACAAAATAAATTATTATTGTAAAATAATGTATAAGTCTCCAGTAAAAATCAATTTAAAAATAAATCAGTCAGCAATTTTGGGTTTATGTGCACTTCTAATTGAATGCTCATCTAACAAAGGAAAGGAAATACAGTAGTGCAAAACCAAATGAAGATTCTATGTGTTGATACTAACCGGCTGGAGAATCTGGTCTATATGAAGCCTGTATGTCCGAGGCACCACTTGACAATCTCTGTCTCATATCTGCAGGCTTTCTAGGTGGTAACTGGGGTGGTGTTCCAGGTGGAGTGATGTTATTCATTGGCAAGAATAATGCAGAGTTTGGTGGCACATGTGCTGTTGGTTTGTCTCCGCCTACTTGGCCAACTCCTCCTGCAGCAGCTGTGAAGAAGAGACATGGTGGATGAAAGTTGTCTAAAATCAATATTGAAATGCAAGACAGTAGTTGATGGCCACAAACTTGTCTATTTTTTTATTGATTGATTATAGCTATTTCGTAAAAAGTAGAAATTTTCAATCAAAAGATGACAGGTTTGCAGAAATTGTGCGTGCAAATCAAAATTTTCACCTGTCTGCAATGTGGAATACCTGTATAGAATGACAGGCAGACAGGTGCCTGGTTAACTGCCTGGTTGCGTTCCCATTATTGGATGTAGAAAATAAAATTCTAGGTTGGTTGTGATGATATAAAAACAAAAGATATCCACATCACACCACCAGAGAGTGCCCTAACTAAATGACCTTATAATCATTTTTTTTTAAATTTCCATAGAAAAATTGCAGAACATAGAGACTGGTTAAGCATACTATTCATTCAGTTTAAGGTAGAGATGCTGGGTCGTGAGCACTTACTTTTGCTTTTTATTATCCAAACAGCTATAGACTGTTAAAATTTTGTAGAATTGTGAATAGTGGAACATACTCAAAAAACCGATTTTAAAATATAGATAACAGGTGAAAACATTCTCTCTTTTGAATACTTAGCAAGATTTAGCAAGGCTGTACATAAATAATGAAAAAAGAAACATGGTGAAAAAAAAATGACGGGATCTCCATATTTAACTTTTAACAGAACGATAATACATTTAAATTTGGAACTGTTACAGCCATTTTAATTATGAGCATAAGCAAACTTCTCACTGAGTGAATTGTTATGCAAATTAGCAATTATCTCAGCTTCTTTTTAGTGCACATCCCAGAACTTTAAAAAGAAACAGCTCCTAGACGCTTTGACCTTTTGTGTTTAAATTTTCACAAAAGATTGACAATGTGTTTATCTTCAAAACGCCGTCAGGGCATTGTTTCTGGTTGAACAGTGTTACAACAATCGTACAGACAACTAGCCTATATGTTAATTTATGCATAAACTTGAAGTAGTGAAATTTGAGCTGCTGCCCTGCAAAATTGACAACTGGTAGACAGTTTTCAAGACGGCACTTTCTTCATAGTAGATGTACCCATAAACTAATTTTGACAGGAAACAAAAGCATGGTTTAGAAGCCAATTTTTTTTAAATCACTTTTGACCAAAAAAGCACATTTTTGTGCATATTTCAAACTAAAGTGTCCATAAAAAAAAAAAAAAAATTTACAATTCATACAATAAGCTTTCCGAAAATATATAGTTTTGTGGACAAAGGAGGTCATCTCGGTTTTCTAATTAACTAATTAAAATACCTGTCAGGTGGACTGCATCTCTACCTTAATAAGCTGGTTGTTTACTATGTACAGAGACATACTGTGATTCTTTTCACATCATAATCAAATGAACTAATTTTACAGGGCATCAGTGGCCTGGCTCCAAAAGAAGATGAGTCAAGAATGCATTTGGTGTTTAACATTAAAATGG